CCGGGGCCGGAAACCGCTAGACGAGGGGTCCCAGAGGCCCAGAGGAGGGACGGGGTCCACGCCCCCAACTGTGACAGGTGACGACATCCGCCCTCCTGCTGGAGAGAAGTGGCGCTGAGCCCAGTGACTGTGAAGCGATGAAATCTCAAGCCGTTCCTTGGCCCGTGATCTGGACCGCTGGCCTGAAACAGCCAGCGCCTGGACGTTAAGGGAGTGGAATGGTTTTCTTGGCGGGGGGGGCGCTGTGGAGACAGAGTCTCACTATGTAGTTGAGACTGACCGGGAACTCACTACGTAGCTCAGGCTGGTCTCAAACTCACAGCGATCCTCCTGCCTCAGCCTCCCGAGTGCTGGGATTACAGGTGTGCGCCAGCAAGGAAGTGGAATTTTTTATGTATTTTATTTTTTTATTTTTAAAAGCCAGGATCCTGCTGTGCAGCCCAGGCTGGCCTCGAACTTGCGACAATCCTCCTGTCTCAGCCTCCAGAGAGCTGGGATTACAGACAATACTCCACCAAACGGGGCAAAGGGGCCTGGAATTTGAGGCGGGAGAGAAGTACAAGGCTTGGAAGTAGACTTCGCACCTCACTCTTGGTCTGTGTCCTGGGGACGGGAGAGGAGGTGGAGTTTTCTCTGTAGCTGAGCCTGGAGGTAGCGGAGGTCTTGCTGGTCCAGCCCATGAGCCAGGCCCAGATAGAGGGTGAGGAGGAGAGCAAGGAGGAGGCGGTCAGTGCCCAGGGTGGGCACCACCCACAGCACCGTCAGCAGCTCCACGCACACCGGGTGGCGCAGGTGGGAGAAAAGCCGCAGCGCTCGAGGAGACTTCAGGGCCAGAGGCTCTCCCAGCCCCAGGACGTGGTAGTACACCTAGGAGCGGGAGGAAGGCTTGGACAGGAGCCTCCCTGGCCTGGCTGCCTCTCCTCCAGGCACTGCCCTCTGCAGTCAGACCCAGGAACCTTGCCCAGGCCCCAGAGACCCACGGGTGCTGGCCTTTGAGGGATGCTGAAGGGAGACCGCCTTTAAGAAAGGCCCAGAGAACTGGGGATTTGGCTCAGTGGCTCCGCTGCCTGCCTCGCAAGCACAGGGTCCCAAGTTTGATCCCCGGCACCATAGAAATAGAAAGGCCAAGAGGAACAGAAAACCCCGGAGGAAGAAGGGCCCGGGAAGAGGAGGAAGAAACCCATGGAAGGGCAAGAATTCTGGACACAAGTCTCAGCAGGTATCTGCAGCCTCACCTGTTTGAGGCCCATGAGTTCAGCATAGTCAAAGACGAGAAGGGTGCTGAAGATGAGGAGCCAGGAAATGACGTGGAGGACAAAGCAGAGCAGCGGCACCCAGGTGGCCCAGGGCTCGGCGCGAGCCTCCCAGAGCACAGGACCGCTGGGCACGGCCTCCCAGTTCCGCATCACCAGCTGGGGAAGAGAAGGGCCGGCATCCCAGCAGCCCACCCTGGGGGACCGGACCTGTGCACCCACAGCTGGAGGACGTGGGGAGGCCCAGGGAGCGGGCCAGCTGTCTCCCAGGTCTGCGGGACGGACGGTCGGCTCACAGCTCAGCGAGTGCCCCGTGGGAGACGATTAGCTAGGAGCTGAAAACCTCCTTCCACACCCAGGGAGGCGGAGGGGAGGACTGAAAAGGAGTTGAAGGGTATCTCAGGGACAGCATAAACAAAGTTGCAAAGACGCAGATGCACAGCAGGTAGTGGGGGTGACAAGTTCGCTTTTCCTTTCCCTGAGACAGGCTTGCTGTGCGTCCAGGCTGGCCTCGAACTGTTGACCCTTCTCCCTCAGCCTTCTAAGGGCTGGGACTATGGACAAATGCGAACATGCCTGCTACTTCTGTGTGCCCTACGTGATAAAAAATAGGCTAACGTGCCATGGAGGAGTGGAAGCTGAGACTCATGCCCTCAGTAATCATTTTCCATATCTCCCCTGCATTCTGTCTTCCTCGGTGTCTCTCTGGGCTACGCAGGCTTCATACCTGCAGGGCCAGGGCAGTGCAGGCCACATACACAGACCTCTGGAGGACCCCGAAGTGCTGGGACGTCCAAGCCTTCACTGCTTCGGTCGCCATGAGGCTGTGCTGTCCGACAAACAGCAGGAGAAGGCCCAGGTCCCACGCCAGGGAGGCCAGGACAGTGCGGTCCTGCAGGGCAGCGAGCCATCCCTGGCGGGGACCTGCGCAGTGCAGGGGCAGAGGGACTGGTCAGGCGGGGCTGGGCTGGCAACCCCGAAGTGCTGGGACGTCCAAGCCTTCACTGCTTCGGTCGCCATGAGGCTGTGCTGTCCGACAAACAGCAGGAGAAGGCCCAGGTCCCACGCCAGGGAGGCCAGGACAGTGCGGTCCTGCAGGGCAGCGAGCCATCCCTGGCGGGGACCTGCGCAGTGCAGGGGCAGAGGGACTGGTCAGGCGGGGCTGGGCTGGCACAC